TCATCCCCCCCCTCCGCCTCCTCCTCCTCAGAGCCACCCTGAGAAACGCTTGCAGGTTTGGGCCCCAGAGCCAGGCTGGTCCCACCCTCAGCAAAGGCTTGAGTGCTGCAAAGAGCCGCCTCTGCTCCCGGGGTGTGCGGCCGGAGCGGGGAGAGGTCCCAGCGCCCAGGGAGCTCATCCTCTGCTGCAGCATCCCGGCATGGGGACGGGGATGGGACAGGATCCCTGCGGGCTGCGCGGAACCCCGCCGGAGGTTGTGCCTCAGTTTCCCCAAGGTGTGCTCTCTGCAGTCCTTCGGCACCATGCTCCCAGGGCTGGCTTGGCACGGCGAACCATCGGCTGGGAAAACCTGCTTCCCATTAAAATTCCTGCCTTTTCCCTCCACTGCCCGGCAGTGGGCGTTTCCGGGGGCCGCAAAAAAGCACCCTCCCACTGCCCCCCGCGTCCCCGATGGCATCCTGAGGTTTGGAGGATGGAACCAGCTCCCGGCATCCCGGCAGCGGCCCCAGCGCTCCCAGCCCATCGCCGGGCCCCGCAGCTGCTGGGTGGGCAGCTGGGGGTGCGGGGTGATGGCGTGGAGGTGGGCTGGGGGGGCAGGCAGTGCTCCTCGTGCCCCAGGGGGTTCAGTTGCTGCCCTCATCTGCGACACAGGGTGTTCCCCGCTCCCGCTCAGGGTCACGGCGAGGAAATCAACCCCAGGGCACGTGGGGCCGAGAGGAAACGCTGGGAACACGGGGCAGGTCCGCTTCCTCCTCCTGCTTCCCAAGGCTGCTCCCGCATGGGAAAGCCAAGGCCAAGGCACAACGGCTCTTGGAGACTGGGATTTATGGGAGGCAGTCGGGACAACCCGGATCCAACCCATCCCAATGCATCCCAAAGGCTCGGCTCGGCGGGATGAGCCACCTCCACGGCCAAAGTGATCCTCCGCTGCCCCGTGACTTGTCCCCCCACCCAGCTCCGTCCCCAAGCCTAGGGTGGGATGCTCTGGGGCGAGAGGACCCCTTCCCAGAATCACCGACTGTTCG